TTCGGACGCCACTGCAGCAGCTGGCCGCCGGCAAGGCGCCTACACGGCGGGCGCGCCGCACGGGACTCCAGAGTCGCCGGGAGAGACCCCAGGTCCCTGCTGACTCCCCGGCAGAGTTTGCAAGTGGTCTTGAGACCCCTCTGGTAAGGGCTGAACGGGCTGGGGGGGGCGCTGGGCCGGGTAGGCAGGCTCCATCAGGGAGCTGCTGCGAAATGGTTGTCTGCCCCTCCACGGGAGCTGCGCTGCCGGTGCCAGCCGCCTCCCCGCAGGCTTGGGGGGGCTCCGCGCCTGCAGCCGGCTGAGTGACAAACCCGGAGCATTGCCCGCCTCGCTTTGGGCAAATGACAAAGTTTGCTTTGGAAGAGCCTGGGACATCAGGGCGTCCTTCCTCCAGGAGCTCTGCAGGAACCCGAAAGGCACGCACGCACTCGGGGACTCTGGAGGCCTGGAGGGGGGGCAGGGAGGGTGAATGCAACGTGCCCCCTTTAATTTGAGTCATGCATCACCCCTTTCTGGGCCAGCTCCGAGGTCCACGGGTGAAAGGAGCCGGTCGTATTTCCAAGTTGGATCTACCGGGTGCTTGTTGGGGGTGAAAGTCCCTTGTAAAGGAGACGCTTGTCATGTGGTGTCAGCAGCCAGGACTGCCCAGCGTGTGTGTGTGTGTGTGTGTGTGTGTGTGTGTGTGTGTGTGTGTTTGGTGGGGTAGGGGGGGACCGGGACAGGGAAACCCATTCACTCTCCATCTTACTCCTCTCAGCTGCCTGGGCTGGAGAAAGAGAGGCTTTCTACTCCCATAGAGTGACAATGTGGAAAACCACAGGGGGCAAGTTCTACCCTGTCCAATGGGGTCCATACGGGCTCCATGGCAGTGAGTGACTCTTGGCCGAGCCCCTGGGAAGGGTGGTGTCAATGTCTATCCCCTACATCGCCAAAGGAGAAAACGTCACCGTCTGGAGGTAAGGGAAAGATTGGGGACATTTCCCAGGCAAGACCTTTCTGGCTGGAGTCCGGGGGTGGCATGTTTTGCAGAAGAGGGGTTGGAGTGGACCCCTGGGAGGGGCTCAGGGCACGTCTGTGGTGCCTGGCACTCTGCTGAGCTGGCACATAGCTCAGAAGTTGGGCTCCATTCTTTTTCCTCGCTGTGAAACTCAAACCAAACTCCCCGCCATCCAGTGGATTCTGACCCTACAGAACAGGGTAGAGCTGTCCCTTGTGAGTTTTGGAGACGGTAACTCCTTCTGGGAGCAGAAAGCCCTGTCTTTCTTCCTGATCTCCATGTAAACCATGCTCCAAAGAGGCCTGCCGGAGACAGGGGACGCCACTGTGATTGGAGATGTCTGGGTGCTTTCTTGCTGGGGTCCCCACCAGGGGTGAGTCAGCTTATGGACGGCTGGTCAGTAAGGCAGGGAGTGGATTCTCTCAACCCTGTAGCTCCCTGCTGGAGTCGGGCCTCTGCCTTTGGGGACTAGCTTCCTGGACAGATTTTGGGATATGAGGTAGGACTTTGAGGCTCTTGCTCTTTTTTGGATCGTAGCTTAGAGTCGATCTAGGCCCTGCTTCCCCAGGTAATCCCTCAGGATCCCTCCAGTGTGTCAAGGAAGTGTGGCCTCCCTGCCTCTGGGATGTGCTTCGTTCGAGCCTGCCTTCCATTTGCTGTGTGACTCTGGGCCTGTTGCTAGACCTCTCTGGGCCCCAGTGACTATTTCTGTGAAATGAAGCTATTGTATGTGTTCTCTGAGATCCCAATGCAGACCCTGAGCGACTGCCTGAGGTGAGATTTTCAGAACTCCAGGAGACGGTGTAATGTAGTGTTTGAGAGACGGAGGGCTCCAATTCTCTGAGTTTGGCCTGCTCATTCATCCCCCTAAACCTCGATTATCCCACCTGTTCAATGGGGAGCTAGTAGTTCCTACATGAGAAGCTCTGGAATGTGCTTTGTGCCCAGTTTAGCGGGCAGTAGGACTCCATAGTGGTACCTGCGTTCAGCGTGGGCGCCTGAATGCCACTGTCCGTATGAAGGAGAGTCCTATCCCACCCAAGCACCAGGTCCGCCCCTTGTTCTCGCCAATCACCTGACACCTGCAGTAGCCACCCCCTCCTGCTTCCTCCCAGAAGTACCACTAGACCAGCAGCTGCTAGTGGGGCGGCCAGGGCAGGCAGGGAGGCCTGGAGGCACCCAGCTCCGGCATCGCCATGACAACAGGAGGTGGAGGTAGGCTGTCTCCATGGCTTCTGCTTTGCAGCTGTCTGGGGACCCAGGGTAAGGATGTCTGTCTGGGTGTCAGGCACTCAGTCTGCAGAGGGCCTGAGAGGGGAGGCCGCTGCCCCTAGTGTAAACAGTAAATGACTTAATAGCCTTACGTGTGAGTGGGGTGGGGGTGGAGGGGCTGACACAGTGAGAGGAAAGCCGTGGATTGTCAATCGGATTGCTTTCTGAGCCGGTCTGAAGCTTGGGACAGTTATTTCCCTCCCCCAAACACCACTTTGCCACCACATCCCAGCTGGCATGCAGTGAGCTACTGGGCACCCAGGAAGGATGTGGGCAGAGCAATTGTCCTGTGTGTAGGCTCAGTCTGTGGGCTTGACTTCCAGGACTCTGAGAACATGAAGTTTGCTTTCCTGGTCCGGTCGGGTGTGTGTGTGTCTGTGTATGCATGCACACGGGTGCACATGCACATGTGTATATACATCCTCATGCAGGTTTGTGCTCATGTGCGCATGCCTTGCAGGAAGTGTCTTGGTGTGGGTATGTACACATGTGTGAAGCATGTTCAATCGAGCGTATCTTTGTGAGAGTGCATGTTGTGAGTATGTGGGTGTGTAAGCCAGGAGAGAATCTATGTGAGCGAGGGCATGTGTATGTGCTCATGCATGCTAACAGGTCTGTGCATATGAGTTACATGTATGTCTTTGGCTAAGCTACTGCACATATGCACGGATGCATGTAGGTGCTGTGAGGATCTGTGTGGAAATTCGCAGAATGCATAACCAACACGTAACTACTATGCCACCAGGGCTCCTGATGTCTGTATAGCATCGGGCATTTAGTTGAATACTTCTGGGTAGGTGTGTGTTTCTGAGTGTGCGTGTACGTGTGTATCTCTGGGGACAGGGCTAACTTTCCGAGCATGCGTATTTGTGAGATTTCCAGTGTGCTTTCAATTGTACCTCTGTGGCTATGTGGGTTCCTGGAGACACTTTAGGAGTCCTGGTGAGAGAGGGGGCTACGCATTGGGCCGATAGCCGCAACATCAGTCGTTCAAAACCAAACGCCACTCCTTAGAAGGAAAAGGAGGTTTGCTACTCCATAAAGAGTTACCGTCTTGTAAACCCACAGGGGCAGTTCGACCCTGTCTGACAGGGTGCCTATAAGTGGGAATTGATTTGGCAGCAGTGAGGCGGCAGCTGTTTCTGGTGCTCGCCGGTGCCTGTTACAGCGTCAACAGGGCGCCTCCATGTGTGCCTGTGTGGTTCTGGGCATGTGGACCTGGGCGGAGCCCTGCACACTTGTGCTCTGAGTTAACATCCAAGTGTGTATCTGTGTGCCCTGAAGGGCCTCAGTGTGTGTGTGTGTGTGTGTGTGTGTGTGCGCTGCAAGGTAACTTCTGTGTGCATCCTGTGTGCGGGAGTGTATTTCTGAGTGTAGGCGCCTGCGGGTGGTGTGTTGCAACTTCTTGTATGTCCTGGGTGCATGTGCCTGTCTCTGAAGGCATTTTCGCTTTGCCTCTGCAGCGACATAACTTTGATCAGGTGTCTCCCTGTGTACGTGTGCATTTCTCAGTATGTTGCCAGAGTATGTTACAGTAGACCTCCTTGTATGCACCCAGTGTCTAGTGATTTTCTGAGTAGGCGCAGTATGAATGCTGGTGGAGGTGCAGAGGTATTGGGGGGGGGGTGTTTAGACACCCTGAGCGGTTCCACACAGAAGACCTTCAGAAGCTTCAAGATGAATCTCACCGTCTTAGGGTTACGGGTACTTCCCAGGGGCTGGTCCAGCGCCCTATAGTAAAAGCTCGGGGAGGCTGGGTGACACGTGCTGCTATACAGTTTTCCAGGGTCCGTAGAATTCCTCTGCCCTCCCCTGCTGGCTCCTTCTCCCCACTCCCGGGACCCCATCCAGGCCCAAGCCTCTCTCCCCACAAGCTTCCACTTAGGACAGTTGCTGAACAGCCTCGCAGATGGTGAAAGCGCAGGTATAATTTTAGGCAGAAGGTCTGAAAATAGGCAGCCTTGGATGCGCCCCACATCTCGACAGCCGTGCTCCTAATTAGGAGCAACTTGTTTTCCTTAAATAAACAAATCAAGTGAGGGAAGAAATTGCCCAAGATTAATGGCTCCCCGGAGCAGGTACAGATGCTGGGAAGATGGGCGCTGGCTTGGGGAGTGAGTGGGCCTGTGGTCCCCGTGAGCCAGAGCTCTGACAGTTGATGAGACAGGAGGGAGGAGGGGGCAGGGCCAGTGGGGAGGTGCCCCGTTATTGGGATGGAAGCGTCTCTGACCTCACTTTCTCCTTCTTCCCTGTGCCCACGTCTTTATCCTTGAAACGTTGGCATCCTTTCCTCTAAAACCCAGCCACCGACCCACCTGATGTCGACTGAGAGCAGCCCCACGTGTGGCAGCACAGACCTGTTCCCTGCTAGGGAGCAGCTGGGGGCTTCAAATGGCCCACCTTGAGGTTAGCAGCTTGGGTCATAACCACTAGGCCACCTGGGCGCCTCTTGGCATACAGTTGGCGCTCAATCAGTGCGTGCTGAAAGACTGAAGACACAGTTCCACACCTGTCCCCATGAAGCCCACCGGACTTGGACTTCTGGGCCTCCCATCCCAGATGGGTCACCCACTTGCTCTGACCTGGGGCACTTGCCTGAACCGTTGGGCTGCCGTTGTGTCCGCTATAAAGTGGGGATGATAAGAAGCGAGCCTTCTCCTAAGATAGCGCTGTGTTTAAGGAGTTAATTCACATAAACCCCCAGCACAATGACTGCCTCCTAGCAAGGACTTGGAACAAAGCACCTGCCTGCTGTTGGTAGGGTGAGAGCAGCCTCCTCCCCCGCCCCCCACCAACCCAGTGAGGTTCAGAGATGCCAGCAGGGGGGCTCGGGTGGTTTTAAGTAGCAGGAATTCACCCACTGTGCTTGAATCC